TGCTGAACAGAACTATTTTAAGGTGAAGGCCTAGACATCTTTGCAGGGAGAACAAGAGAAAAAGTACATTACATCAACATGCAAAAACTGAGAACAAAATTCAAGGCTCTGATACACCTCCCCAGTAAAGGCTTCTCTTCACAAAGCATTTGGGGTTCATGTTCAGGTGAAGAGTCCTGCTATGCATTAAAGCATATTCATATATGTCTAGAACAGCATAAAAACAGGTCTGGAAAACACAGTCCATGTTTCTTATTTATCCAAACTACCACTACTTACGAGTGAGATTTTCTCACTCTTAAAAACAAACTTGCTGTTACTTCCCAGGTCTGTTCACTTTTCCTGTCTGAGAATCGCATGGTGAACTCTGCCTGCCTCCAATTTATTCTTTTTAAGCAATTGCTGACATCCCCATGTTAAAACCCCAAGTGAGGGGGGTTTAGAGGATCCTACCTATGGAAACCTCACTGTCCTGTGTCTTAAATGCAAGCACCATTCCTCTCTTCACATCATTGCCTTTATTCAGCTCACTTAACTGAGTATTTTCCTAGACTAATCTAATTAATTTTTCAAATAAGACTGTGAGAAATACTGTACTGCTTTATTATAACTCAAGTATCTTACGATCTACGTGCAGACTCCCACCAATTGTGAAATTATACCCAGAAAAGCAATCCAGTCTGTGCGGAGAGTTTTAGTGTTCCCGGTTTCAATTCTCTAGGCTAGGTCTACCCAAAGATGACAGCGTGTACTCTCTGGGGCTGCATGCTTTGTGAATGTGCATGATGAGCCCTGGATTAGGAGGTGACTGAGAGGTATCTCCCACTTCCTTACATAAATGAAGTCCTTAGTATTTCTTTTTTTTGTTTGTTTCTTTTTTCTCCCAGCTGAAAATTTTCAGCAAACTCAAGCTGATATTCATAACCTGTTTGAGATGGAATAAATTGTGTGTTTCAGCAAAATGCAATTTCCAAATGCAGTGAATGAAATTTACCCAGCTCCAGTGAAAATCATGCTGAATCCTCAAACCTAGCTTTCCTCATTTTTCATAATATTAAGTGGAGGGATAGTGCCAGGTTTTGTCACAAATCCCAATTTATGTAAAGTGCAAAAGGAGCACAAGATTAACATTACTATCACCTTCCTTCAAGCAATACAAGCAGAAATGTCTATGGACATCAGGTTGCATATGGCTCATTAATACAAAAGAGTAAACGCCCATACTGTAAGGGAAAATGTGCCCCAGTGTAGCCAGCACACTACACTGCAAAAGTAACAGGTTGTTGAGCTCTCAGAACAGAAACAGTTAAAAACCTCATTAAAAGGAGTAGCACTTTATATATATCTTTTTAATTCACATGAAAGTGACTTCGTTAGGTTGCCAGGTCCATTGAGAACTGAAATCACACACACTGGTGTGCAGCAGGATAGCAGCTTCCTCCTAGCTTAGAGTCACAAATCTGCACCTCTTGACACAAAATCAGTTAAAACTATGATTTATGGGGCACGTCCATCTTGTCAGGTTATCTAAGACCAGATCTGCATTTCAGCACCCAGAAATGAGTCTGCCTCTGCTGGGATTCCCAACAAGGGTTTAAATCATATTTCAAAGCTGGAGGTATGCCTCACTATCTACACCACGGACATGTAAATAGCTTCATGACTATGAACTGGAGGCTTGCTATTTTCATATAGTCCCACATGTCCAATTACCAAAGGGAACCCATCTGGACCTCCAGGTATCTAAATGCAAGGAGGATTTTCAAAGGATCAAAGCAGTTTAAATGCCTCAATCCATTTAAACTAGTAGCCTGAATGCACATAATCTTGCTTTGTATGCATTTGAAAATCCCACTAAGAACCCATGCAAACATGGCTCTAAACTTGTTGTGAAAGCATTTAGGGAAATCCCCGTATAACTAGTTCTGTAGCTGGCTGTCAAGCGAAGATAACAAAGCACTTAAACATTGTCACATACAATAAATGTTCATGCCATACGCGGAGCAGCAAGGGCCAAAGATATCGTAACAGCAACCAGACTTTAAAATAACCATCAGCATGCAGTCCCTCCACGTGACAGCCCCAGGCATCCTCATGGAAGTATTTGTGCAGTATTTGTGTTGGACATGCCACATGGGCAGATGAAGCTTCTGCACACCTCCACTCCATCAGCTATAATTACAGATACCTACATCCTCCAGGAAACTCCATGGAAGCAATCTGTGAAGATTAATGCTATGATGAGGCCATAAAGCCAGAAAATCCCCTTACACATGGCACATGGCATCCTCAAATAGTACCAGGTTCATGGCAGCATTGACTTCATTGTAGTTGTCCAAGGCTTCCATAAGGACCTGGTTCAACTCCTCCCAGGTTGGAACTGGCCTATAGCTGGGTTCACTGATGCCTTTAGCAAAATGGCAATAAACATTCATTTGCTTGGTCTGCTCTAAAGTTTCTTCAATGTCCTGTCAAAAGAAAAAAAAAAACACATATATGTATAGAACAAGTATAGGAAAAAACACTGCAGGTCTATGCCATCTTTCAAAGAACAATATGGTGTTCTAGCAAATGCCTTTTTATGTCCATATAGTTGCACCTGCATGTTGGAAAAGGGAGAAGAGGGACAAAATGGAAAGAGGGGGAAAGGAAAAAGCTCCAGTACTGACTTTCTTTGCTCTGACAACTTTTTGCAAATCACAAAAACTCAACTCATTACTGTAAGAGAACGTGGCCACAAGAAAAGCCCCATAGCAATAGCTGTAAGATTAGGCTGTTGCATGGACAGTGATAACACATGGAGGAAAAAGCACTGTCTGCACTACTTATCACTTCAGTAATGCTTGTGTGATTCATATGGCAGCACTACTGGGTGATGCCAGGCCTGAATAAAAGCAGGTCTAGAGCTTTCATTTGAAAAGTATTTTGGAAAAAGGGAAAGCACTGAGGATTTGTGCCTGCATTTCACTTTGCTCCCATCAAGACCAGAGATCTGACCCTTCTCCTGCTTTTGCCACATGAGACTCAAAGAACTTAAATAAAGGAATTTAATTAATTCACAGAGCCCAAATCTCCTCTCCCCAGTGCCCTTATGAAATGCATCATTTACCCATATCACAACATTGGCAGCCCAGAATACGGATGACAGAGATTTTGCTCCTGGGCTCCCATCAAGAGCATTGCCCTCCAGGCAAGTGAGAGATGGGCATACCTTGGGTCAAATTTTGCTTTCCCAAGGAACTTTTTTCCTGTGAGCATGTACATCATTATCAGTTATGAACCTCAACACTTACGTCATAGAATTTCTTCACCATCTCCAGCTGGATTTTGTCAAAGGTACCATAATCCCTTTCTTCAACCATCTTATCCCGGTACACCCGGTTTGACTCATGCAGGTAGAGCTTCACTAGGTCCTGGGGTTGCTTCAGACAATCAGGGGTAGAGAATAGAAGGCCCTGTGGAGAGCAGAGACTGTCAGAAAACCCCATCTTGACCCTAAGGGACTAACCTCACCCCCATCATCCAGGCTATCATGCTAGAATGGGACTGAATCATTCTAAATGCAGAGTTGTTATAGCAACCTGAAACTGAACTTCTGAATTAGCCCCTACTCAACAGCCCCTGGAGAATGTGCCCTTTGTTATCCCCAATCTCCCAAAGCAGTTTATATTTGTTATACTCATTTTGATACCCCAAACAGCATCTCTGACACAGCTTGGCTGGGCTGGTAGTCCCAATCTCAGCAGAAAAAAGCATGCAGAGTCAGGCACCAGCCCCAACATACAGCTTTTTGCATCCCCACACCACAGGTTCTTTGTCAAGAAGAAAAAACAGCTTGGAAATTTTAGTCGTGATGATGTTTTTTTTAATCAATTAATTTTAATTAGGTGCATTCTGCCTGCAGGAAATATTAGTTGCTGTCTGCTTATCACAGTATGTTTACCATGAACTCTATTAAAACGCATAAAAGAATTATATTTCAAAGAGGTGTCGCCTATAACTAAACCAATAATAGCACACAGGGGTTTCAATGGCATGAATTAAATAGACAGCTTTTATTCCTAATATCTAATTATTTATACATAAAATATAAAATGTATTAAAAGCAATGTAAAGCAGTCCCTCTCAGCTCACTGGCCCATGGCTCAAACCACTTGGGTTTCACATTTGTCATTGCATCTGTCAAATTATTGTTTTATTTCAGCAAAAAAATGTGTGAGAAGAGCTGACAACTTGAAGAGAGAAAGGTGAAACCCATCAAGTCCTAAACTGATTTAAAAAAAAAATAACAACCCAAAAAACCACTTAGTCACTCTAAAGACACCCCAAGCCACAAAAGTTGTTGTGTTCTTGATGCAAGCACATGTGAGGCTACATCAGAGGAAAGAAAATCCACACTTCACAAATCTGTAATCTGTTTATTAACAGCTGAACATCTCCCCTTTTCTCACTTCACAAATCCAACCCTCCTTGCTCCTCTCAGCAGAGCTACCATGAACACACGCAGCTGCATCCCCAAAGAGTGGTGGGGATGCTCCATGAGTGAAGTTGAGCTCCCAGGAGATGCCTATGTGTCTACAGGAGACGCCAGTGTCTACAGCTGGGATGCATGAAGGATGCATGATCATGGGTCACTGTGTCTGTGATGGATGTGGTGCCAGCATGCAAAAGAACCCTCCAAAAAATGCATAATCCCTTGTCCTTTGCCAATAAAAATGCAAGTTTTATCCATCTGGCTGTTGAGCCCTGAGGTTATATTTCAACCAAATCTTTCAGTTTCTCCTCCTCTCCAGAAAGGCCAGAAGCTGGTTAGGAAGCTCTCTATGCTGCACCAAGGCTTCTCTAGGCAACAATATTAAATATCACTACATTGGCAATAAAATAGCGAAACACAAGAAGAGGCCTTTGCTGAGAGGAGCAGCTGTGCCCATTGGGGTGTGAGGGGATTACTGCCACCCTGCTGAGGAGTGTGGACCCAGGATGCGGGGGAACCACCACGCTCCAGACGAGACTCATCAGGTCAGGATTTATTACCAGGAAATTCTGAGTGACAAGCCCCTCAGCAGCTTAATAATCACTCCAATGATGCGTATTTGGCACGGAAATGGAGAATATGCTAATCATCCTGGCAAGACTTGTCTGCCATGTTGTCATCACGCATCAACATGCCAGCGGAGATGGGCTGTCACAGCTCTGACAAGGCAGAACCTGGCCTCAGCCAGTTGCTTGTTTTTTTCCCATGATGTCCATGAACAGGAGGAGACTGAAGAGCACCCGTGACCCCATCAGCCTTCCAGGGAGTGTGTCCCCTCCCAGCAGGGCCTCATGTGCTCTGCACCCACCACAGGTGTGCTGAGGGAAGTCCAGGAGATATTCTGCTGCTCATCAGTGCTCTGCAAACAGTAACAAGTATCAGCCAGCTTGCCCTTTACAACGTCACCACATCTGGGCAGTTAGCAGCCGTGGCCTGGGGCAGGACAATTCCCACCACGGCTCCATTAATGAGTCCTAGCCCACAGCATTACCTGAAATACTGCATTATCACTATCCTCTGCCCAGGAATGGTCTCCAAAAAACATCTAGCACAGCCACACACTCCAGCCAGCTCTCCTGAGTTGTATACCGCCCCCCCCCGCATAACCACTGGTTCCCCCTGAAACCTCAGAAGCCTTCCATGCAAGACCAGCTTCCATGCAATATCATTTGCTTCATCTCTAGATTTAATTTGAAGCCATTCACAAATAAAAGGATCACTAATTTTTCTACAGTGAGATGCACAGCTCTGGCACTGCCCACAGTACCAAAAAGTCCTAGATCACACAGCTAAGTGATTTTTGGTAACTGAATATCTTCTTTGAAGAGCTGCTCTAAGTCAAATGGTCAGATGATCCGGTAGAGAGAGACATTTAAATTTTTCTTTCTCTTTGCACACTAACATGCTCTCAGGGGCATGAACAGAGGAGATGCACGCTTCATCTTTACATGGAAATGTATTGCACATAGATAGCCAAGAAGAGGCCTCTGCAGATACAGGACAATCATGGAAAGTCAAAGACTTCGCATACTGCAATAAAACCTACATGTAGAGGGAAGATGAATGTTTGAGTTTAAAATAAAACAAAATAAAATAAAAAGCACCAGAAACACTCAAGCCATTTTGGCAAAACCTGCAAAACTATAACACATGTCCAGAAATCAGGGTCCGAAGCAACATAAGGTGAGTTCTGTACACTAGGCTCCCTAAGGTGATAATTATTTCCACTTCTTAAGCTTTGCATCCTGCAAGGCTCCCTGTCAGCAAGCTGGCTTCCTGCTAGTGCTGTTATGGGCAACCCAGAGAGCGGAGTGAAGCACCGGGACACGCATCACAGCTTCCCCTGCCCACCGGCCTGGGAGGGAAAGTGCATGGGTGAATGTGAAGAAAGAGCTAAAACGCTCCCACGGTCAGGGTGATCAGAAGGTGACAGAACAGAAAGTCTTCCAAGCATAAAAAGGTAAGAAAAATAAATTACTTTTTCTCCTTGCAGTCTAAATAACATTTAAAAAAATAATAACTTGTGTGGCATAGTGACCTCTTTCCAGCCATCCTGCACTGTTGGTCTAAGCACCCTCCTCACCTCTTTCCTGATGTTACTCTTGGTGCTCCTGGGGCAGCCGCAGCACTTTGAGGGCAATGATGACATGAAAACAGTGATAAACACAGCATTACTATCAACAGTGTTTGGACCATGAACCCAGAGTTCTATTTAAAGATATTGTACCAATTTCAAAATATGCTAATCTGGGTGGACTAACAAGGGGCTCCAGCCACCCCACTGGCATTGCATACTGCTGTGGCTGCTGCATGTGATAGAGCAGCCCACAACCAGCCGCTGTTTGGAAGAGAAATAGTAGAGAGTGCAAGACAGAACAAGGGGGAAACTGAAACCAGACTGGCTCAGGTAGCCAGCTCCCAACTAAGCCCAAGGCTAAGTCATGCCAATCAACTGTGCCAGACCAAGGAACAAAACGAAGGTGCTGCTGACCCTGCACCAGTCTTGCAATCGCTGCTGTCCCCTCTCCAGCCGCACATCAGCAGACAATGCACAAGGTGTATTTTGGTGTTTGCAAGCCTGAAGTTTGCAGGGTTCTTTAGCAAGTTCAACCACAGGTTGTGCAAAGGAACATGAAGTCTGCCAGCTGCTAAAGCCTGTGTGGAGGCGAAGCTCAGCTGGAGCGAGGCACACCAGAGCCGCTGCTATCATCTTGCTGTCAGGAAGAGAGAGAGAGGCCATTCCTCCTCAACTGCTGCAGATCTTAATGTGACATGCTGCTTGAAAATCTTGTTAGAAATGGGAATGAAAAGCAAATACAACCCTGCTAAGTCTATGATTATTATTTTACAGAGATGACAGATATAATTTAGAGCATAATACCATGGTAACACTTTCAGATAGAAGGAAAGACAGCAATAGGGCTTTCTCTGGTGTGAGCCAGCAGGATTATATTTTTAAAAGCATAATGCACAACTCTGTCTCTGCAGAGACCTGTCTTCTTTAATCAAGGGTAAATTGCCTGGAGCATACCAATCAACATAACTCTTCATTGCATGGTGGGACCCAGAGGCATGAAAAGGTGCCATGGAAATGCAAGGCAAAGTAGGGTTGGACTTTAACCACAGACAGGACCTGCTACAGAGGGAAAGTAACAGATAACACCTTCTGATGAGCCCAAAGGTTTATAAAGAACTGAAGGGTGATATTGCCCCTACAACAGTAACATCAGTAAGTGATATAGCCCAAGAAAAAAGAACCACGGTTGCCATTCCTGCAGATCTTGCCTAATCTTACTCCAACCCCTTCTTGCCCATCATCCTGGACTGTGGTTTCCAGCCCCTCTTCACCCTGAAGATTTCCAGCAAGATGTGACAGCAAATTTAAGCTGTTTATTACAGACAGGTTTTACAGTACTTGCTGAGCCATTCAAAACCAGCCTATGAGCCCAGGGGCTTGAAGATGATCATGGCTCCTTGTCATTCTTTTTCAATATCAGAAAGGAGCATCCTTCAATACAGAACCTACTGGGTTTCCAGGTCAGCAGTGACGTGAATGTGTTTGTGTGTTCATCAGGGAAACCATGCCCAGTGCTGGCTTCCTTCTCCCCTTGATTCCCCTTCTTCATCCACAGCCCTTCTGCCAGTCCCTACCTCCCTGGAGACTCGTGTTCCCCTTTGGGAAGCCAGCCCCTCCATGGTAGGCATACACACATTACCCTAGTGCCACACAGGAGGGACCAGCTTATTTTTATGTGAGGGTCTGAACCAGTATTTCACCCTACGGCTCTTGGCCAGCTGATGCCAGAGAAGCAGTAGCACCACTGAGTACAACG